ATCTGAAAAAAGTCAGGGAATTGTGTTCCTAATACTTGAAAGTCAACGAATTTTTACTTGTTTCTAGAAATTTATAATATTTCAATACTTTTATTTGTTATATCAGTATTAACATCGAAAATATTCAAATTTGTGAGTAACTGTAATTTTCTGCAATTTTTTTCCATTGGAGATATCGAATTTAGTCGTAAATATGACAGCAAATTTCTTGAAGAGCCTCGATTTTATAGGGAGTATTTGGAATTTTTGCGTTCTGTTTTTCTATTAGGCAAAGTTTTGAACCAACTGTATTGAATTCTGTTTTCATACTTCGACTTACTTTTAGAACCATCGAACTACAGGTATTCGAAAACAGAACAAATTTATCAGGGAAAATCTGAAAAAGTCGGAAATTTGATCTAACAAAAATGCTGGTTACTCACTCTGCAGGCTCAAGGGATGAAGTTGATAATTTGTTAAACAGCCAAATGTTTCGAATTCAGTCGTCTATCAGTGACGAAGAGCAAGAACTCCAAAACTATTCCATAGGTAGTTCATCTTTTTTCAAATTTCAAAAAAATCCCGTTTCAATTGCACTTGAACATCATATAAAGATTTTTTTACGAGGAATATTGTTCAAATTCAATTAACTATCCATCGCAGTATTATCAGAGGTAGTAATTCTTTCAGATTTTAAACAGATTTTCTGTTTATTTTGGATGTGAAAATGGTATTTTACCGTAATTAAAAAACGTTGTTTTCTGTCCAGTAGTTTTTCATAGGTTATTTTTTTGCTATTAAAATTCTCGATGAATTTATGGATATTGAAGTAGAATCTACTGAAATCAAAATCATAAATCCTGATGAACTAATGAAATGCATAGGAAGAAGTAAGGCAGTAACCAGAATTTAACATAATGATATTAAACTAGCTTTTTATCGACTGTTGTATTTTTCCCTTTATTAAATCTTACACACATCTACACCTATACAATAAATATGGTTCAACATGAAATATATAACACTATTAAATTCATTAGAAATAATCTGTTGAACAATTCAATATTGAAATTGTTCAACTTGAGAAATTTGTATGTATATTAATATGATAATGTATGGAAAGGTTATTTATTATTAAAATCTTGTATTGATTATTTTCTTTGTGTACATATATTATAGGTACCATGAGCCAATTGTTACTTTTGTAGGAATAAGTAATGATACCAATTATGTACATACACAAAATCAGTATCATGATTTTTAAGCCACGTTTCTCATAATAAAAGAAAATTACGTGCTTGCTGGTAAGACTTTCATAATGATGTCAACAGTATACGTCTAACACAAACTAAACACTGAGCGTTTGTCCGACGAGAGGAAGAGCTCGCCTTCCGCTGGTGTATGTGTGAGAGAAAGGGAAGCCAAACAGACTGGCACTGTAACGTGTTAGGTAACAAAGCGGTTCACCCTCCTATAAGAAGTTATCACTTCAAAACAGTATAGTATAAACATTGAAATTTTTTTGTTAGAGAGGTATAATGAAAAATAATATTCCCTACCCAGTCACAGTGCTTTTCTCATGATTGCCGACAAGGGAAAAGTTGAGTTTGAATCATTTCGAATAGGATTTTCTTTTCAAATTATAATAAAAAATCTCAAAATTACGCAATTGAACCTGTATGCATGATAGTCGTATCCCAAAATGTTTTTTTTGAAACGAGAAACAGTTGTGCATTCATTATGTTAAGGTGACATATCTTTAAGATTAAATTTTTGCTGCTATTTGTGTTTTTATTGACCTCTCTCTTTTCTGAATTCAGTTCAACCAATTAAATCCAAACAATCATTAATTTTTAAAGAATAACAAGAATATCTTGATAATGAATCTTCAGGACAGAATATAAAAATGTAGGTTGAATGACTTTGTTGAAAGCTATTGATTCTGAAGAAAACAAATTCACAAATGTTACATAGATATTCATTCGTACTTTGCAAAAGTCATTGTACATGATTTTTTTTCTGGGAAAAGGTCTCACCAATTCAATACTCATTTAATTAGGGACTAATTTCACAAAAACGTACTGTATTTGTATTTGTAATTGGGTTATAATGAATACAATTCTATGAAAAAACACTGAAAATCGTGTATTATTATTTTAACTGATCGATTTTCATCAGCCATCTCATTTTTGTTTTCGGATTCATAATGAAACCACAAAAGAACACACTGAAGTATAACTATCTTCCCGATAGTTTCAAAATTCTTAGTATGTCCAAATTCAAAAAAACAATATCTATATTCTATTCTATCGAAGAATACGTGAATCATTTTAAATGTTTATAATGTCAACATACATACTCAATTTTGTTCTTATATTTTTGTATTTGTGTTTCTCGTTTGTTTTTCTAATATTTTGATTGTTAACAAATTACTTTCTTGCTATTTTTTGACTTGCTACAAACATTTTATTATGTAAGGTGGTGAAATAAATTATCTTATTATTGTAGAATGGTTTTCTATTCTTCAGCAACAACAGCCGCTTATTTATAGGAATTTGCATCTCCTAAAATCAGAAGTCTACAGTGTTGCCTTCATAAAAGCATGGAGATTGTAAAAAGTACATTTATCATGATGATNTTTCTGAAACCTGACTGATATTTTAGTAAAATATCATTATCTTCTAGATATTCAATGAGTAGATTATAAACTGCGAGTTCTAATATTTTTTCAATATGAGGCAAAATGTTGATTGGTCTAAATTCCCAGGATTTATTTGTGTTAGGGACTTTCTGAATTGGCACAAGGACACTGGGGTAAGAAATTTGGAAAGGACATACTTCTGTTTAAAAATTAGGTGAATTTTTATTTTTCTAAATTGTCTCCTTCACAGTAGTCCCACAGTAGTTCACAGATACAATACACTTTCTTTCTGATGTGCACTTTTGGGTATGTCCGTGAGATCTTTCAGCGATTCTGTTTTCATCTTCTCAGTCGTCGCAAAACGCCGTCCTTTCATGGGTCTCATCAATGAATAAATCGCAGGGAGCGAAGTCCGGTGAATAATAATAATAATATTTATTCATCCTCAAAGATGTTGACAAACGTATAGGATAGGTCAGTATTAAGCACATAAAAATCACATCAAACGATAAAATTGTATTACCCCACGATAATCGAGGAAAACAGAGAGTAAAACCTTGGCATTTGATTGAACTTTTGCTTTTGCTTTTTTGGATTTCCTCTGCTCTTCCATTGGCACGTTTGAAATTTGATTTCGATGTCATAACCATATACTCATGATTTGTCACCAGTTATGACCCTCTTAAGCAAATCTGGATCGCTGTTGATGTCTGGGGCGATGCTCATGCGGCGATTTTTTTGGTCAAAATTCGGCAATTTTGGGACGAACTTTGCTGCACAAAATTTCCGAAAAAATTGTATGGCATGAGCCAATTGATAGTGACTCGCCGATTTTCCATAACAATTTTCTTCACTTTCTCAACATTTTCGTCTTCTCTTGATATGCTGAGGCGTCCAGGGCGAGCGTCATTTACATCTCAACCTTCTGTGAAAACGACAAAATGGTTTAGACTTTCACAACTGAGGTTTTCAATGTCATTGCTTTTCGAGTTTGTAAGCCGTGGATTTTTTGAATTTCTTGCTGACGTTTCGCTGGCTAGCTTCTTCAGAGGTTTAACCATCATGGCTTGCTGTCTGATGACTACCTTTTAGGCTTTGTAAAGCGTATTTATGCCTTGTCAGGTAATCAGTTGTATTTATACCTGAATTTGTACCTGCACTTGTACCTGTACTCGTACCTACACTTGAACCTGGAACATTAACAATCTTGCTGCCTGTTGTCCTGTTCGTTATTATAAAATTCCTTAAAATGGGGTTCCATATTCGATTGAGGTTCATCGCTTCTGTTGTACCACTTGTAAACATTTTTCTGACTCAGGTTAAGAATACCATATGCCACTGTCAACATTTCACGTGTTTTTGAGCACTTCAATTCCATTTTTTAAACAAAATTTTATGCAAATTCTTTGTTCCATTTTCGATAGCAGAAAATCGTCTAACACACAACACACTTCAACTTTTATGCCTCCCACCAATAAACTAAACATCGAATGTACATAGCCTGCGAAATTATTTGAACATTCACATTATTTTTTAAACAGACCACATATACTTCTTTGGGCCGATATTTTAATAAAAAATTATATCAATTGAACCAAAAATGAAAAGTTTAGAGTGTTGAATAGAACCCTGTATATTTTGTAAAACCATTCGATAGAATAGAAAATTCTATCGTCAACAAAATAACAGATGTGATCATCCCTGTTCAAAATGGCCGTACAGGAGCCATTTTCTCCAATTTCAAAACGGCGCACTATGACGTCATCTGTGGAAATAATGTGAGGAACTAAAGACATAGCTTGCTGTTTTCAAATAAACATTGAAATTTTTAATCAATTATGTCTATATTTAGACCCAAACAATTTTATCTCAGCAATGCACGTCTTCAAAGCAAAAAATAAATATTTTAGCAAAAGGACAAAAAATAACTGAGGAACAAAGAACGATCCTAACCTCACTCCTGTCAAAAAAAGAAAAAAGTAGCAATAAATTAAGTTGACAGGGATCAACTGCAACCATGCTTTCGACGAATTTTTCAAATTATACTATGTAAACTAGAAGTAACAATTATACTTGTTGAGTTAGCTTTGAAGTAAATTATTCAGATCCACAATTATATACAGTGTCATCCTTTAGATCCTCCCTGATGATATGCCCAGTGTTTTTTAATTTTTTTTTTCAGAGATATCTTATTATGGTAAACATTATTTTTATAATTGTTCATAGTAAATCTCACAAAAATAGGTTTGGGTTTATTCAAATTCGCCGATTTGATTCTATAGCAATTCTCAGTGTTTACATGATCAATATGTTGGGTTCACTTGAAAATCAGCTTAAAGGTAATTTCTCATGCTGAGAGGTATGGAAGAAAACCATTATATTTTCTATATGATTATATTAACCTAACAACTATCTAACAAAATATATTTACAGCAAAGTCTTACAGATAGTTTCACATAAAAAATAAAAAAGTTTTCATTTTACAATATTCCCAAATACTATTGACAACGAAAGTGACATATTTTAAACTATATTATATTCCTCGAAAGATATTCAATGAGAAAACAGCCATACACTTTTCTGTGCAGTAGTTTTTAATTTTTCCAATAATTCTAGTTAGATGGAAAACACATTTATTATTGAGTTGATATCATGAAAGTGGGAGTACCATATTACCACTTTGGTGCAAATTCAACTTTGTACTTCTTGACTGAAAAATTACTAGAGTGAAATAATTTTGTTGATAAACAAACGCTAATGTAAGTTTATGACAAATACAACTAGATATGCAAAGGTTAGACGAACAAAATGTAAAAGGTACAAAACAACAGAAGGGCCCACACTCCATTTTTCATTTTGTTCCCACTTTCTTTCAGATAATATTATTCACGAAATCTCATGTTTTTTCATGAGATCGTAACTTGAAGTGGAGACAAAATAAAAATAAAGTAGGTATGACTCTTCTATATCTTACTAAAAAGCTGAATGAACAGAGATACAAATTTATAACTTAAATAATATAAAAATGGTAGAACAGAAATGAATCCACATTAATCTGTCTGAAAAGTTTTATAGGCAATTATAAAAATTGCACTTGCTGATGAATTGATTAATTTCATGAAATGAAATTATTTAAAATAATGGCAAAATCTTATGTTATTGACATATTGCATGTTTAAATCAATAGTTCAGGACCATTAAACTCTTGCTACTGATGAAATTGCAGCTTGCTGAATTTTTTACAATTACAAATCCCAGTGGGATATTTGTAGTCTGAAGTTAAGATTGCCAAAAAACTGTTTCAAATACTCCTTAACAATTATTGGTATGTTGAAGAGATGCTGACTTTTTCTTAATAATGAATTTTTCGGGACTTTTTAGGGGTTGTTGACGATAAAGTAAATATCCCAATGGCGAATGGCTGCAATTTCATCATTAGGCTGAGCTTTTTAGCTTATTTTGAAATTGATTGCAAATGTAGATATCGCCCAATCTGTGATTAACCATTACTTCTACAAAACTAACGATTTTTACTGCGGTTTGTTACACGAACTTTGAAAATATTTCCAGGCAATTGTGCATTCTTCAAAGTATTTCGGATTTTCTGAACCCCGAAGGGAAAGAGCTCCATATAATAATTCTAATTACAGTCTGCTCAAAACATCGAACTAATTCTGAAAATAACTTAGATAAAACCTCTATGACAATACAAAAATGAAAATATACATAGATGAAAGACTGAAGTGAGATTTCAAGACCTTTCAATAAGTCCACTGAACTGTAATAAGACTGCACTTAAACCTATCCTATCGACAATAATGTCACCCAGCTACAAATATGCATAAAGCGCTAGATATTATTCCTTAATGATTATTATTTATAGTAAAACATTTTATGAACCTAGATAATTATAGTGTGTGTTGTATTTACAAAGGCAAGTTTATCTGAAAAAGAAAGATTTCCATTAGACTCGAAGGATACTTTTTCGAAATATAATATCTGTAGGAACACAATTCATTATTATTAGCACGCGGTAGTAATAAACTGAGGTATCACAATTTAATCTTTCCACTTTCGGTGGAATACCCCAAATAGTATATAAATACATGAAATGACTCACTTTGAAATTACGATTTTAATACATAGATTTGTAAGAAGTTAGCATATCTCCTCTTATGAAGACTGCATCTAGGAAACAAATTGAAATTGTGAAAAATGAGAAATAAAACTGCCTGTTTTTTACCACTTGCATTTGTAACTAACATTATTACAGTTTCGTCCTATAAGAACAATACAAGCGGATGATACATTTCTACCACCAACAAAAATTATGGAACCACAACTCTCTGAACACAATCCAGTTTCAGAAATATCAAAAGCGACTTTGGAACAACATCAAGTGCTCAACATAATGCATTTCAATATACAAGGCCTTTCAAATAAATGTGACTCCATCAACATACTGTTGACAACACACAAAATTGACATCATTTGTCTTGATGAACACTGGCTGAAGGAAGAAGAACTTGAAGTGACTGTGATAAAAAACTATAATATTGAAATTGCTTTTTATTTATCCTTAACTTACACAGCAAGCAGGTAAATAGATAATACCAGTACTTTGTATGAGTATGGTTGAATATTGGAGGAAAAACACATGAATACGTAAAAGATGAACTTGTAGCATTCCTTCAGTATCACTTAACTTTTTGAAGAGAAAATATGAGTTTCCATTTTTCAACCAACCTTTCATGAACCATAGTAATTAAGTTCAAATTGTATTGAAGTGACTTTCTGTTTGAAAAAATTTTGTCTGCTCTGATGTTCATAGTATAATATTCCTCAATGTCGTAGTATAATAAAATTTGTGTAAGGAGAGTAATAATTTTTTATAGCTGTTGAAACACTAGTGAGATTGAATATGAATGTATTTGTTTCAATTCCAATTTCTTTCATAATCAAAGTATGTCTAAGATATCTCTACTCATTACTTTAGTTTTACTTAATCAATTTGACAAACTACCAACACAGAATGATCATTTTATGTTATATATCACAAAAAATAAAATAACAATACTCACCATTCAACTCTATTCTCTAGACAAGTGTAGCTGCGCAACCGCCAACTGCGCATGGAGGGCATTAGCGTGCATCGCATTGGCGTGCAGGGCGTTCGCATGTAAGGCATTGAACATGACATTATCGGGAATCACCGGTTTAGGTAGAGGTATTGTGATTGGAGGAGGTTCGTCAGGGTTTTCGGTCTTGTGCACGGGCTGCAACCGTCTTATATTGCTCACGACGTTCAAACCTGCATGAAATTGAAGATCAATTTGTAAATTTCGTGTAAAGATTACCATTCATTAAATTAACAACAGTAGGATCAATGGATCTTTACAACTTGCATTATTAATTTGTGAATTCGGAGTCAACAAAATAAGGAAAACAAATGACTTAGCTACTGATCTGAACAGTTATTTCAAAAATGATTTGATCTTCACAAACTTCATTTCCAAAAATTTCACGTTTCGCTATTATAGTAGCTTTTTCGTAGTGAATAACATACATATGAAAAAGCTACTGTGATTGCAAAACATGTAATATTTTTGGAAATGAAGTTTTTGAAGGTCAAATCGTTACCAATGTAATTTGTGAAATTACTATGGATCTTCATCAAGTAAAGGCCGAGTCAATCAGGAAAAAAAGCGAACAGTTATTGAAGAATTGTTTTTATTTATAAAATTAATTGAAAATTAACCCCATGTTGTCTGTCCCCCGTGTTTACACAAATGTGTAATGATGAAAATGCTCAAGTCTACACAGTGGAGGATATAGGCTTGATGCCGCCCTAGGTCTCGTTTATCGTGCCGCCCTTAATGTCAGAATGAATTTTATTGATTTTGATTCAATATCATTTATTTAAATTTAAAATAACTTTATTTTGTTAGATAATTTTTAATTAATACTAATAAACATTACAGATACATAAGTAATAAAAATTAGACAAATACATGAATATTTTTTTTATATTGATCAACTTAAAAAATTTATTTTTCCTATCTTTGGTCAAAAGTATCAATTNCAATTTCTTGAATTAGTTGAGTTTCTACATATAGTAATGCAAGAGCATTAAGTCTATCTTGACCCATACTTGCACGTAAATAGGTTTTTACTCTTTTCAAAGTGGAAAAAGATCATTCTCGTGAACAACTTCTAGCCAGAATACTAGAAAAAAATATGTGAAGCAATGTCTTCATTTGGGTAAACATCTCGAAGACTCCGTGAATGTAATACACATTGCATATATTTTGTGCAGAGTATACAATGTACATCTTAAATTACATTCCAACCTATGACTAGAATTGCTGTTTCTAAATGCTACAACTTTTAATGCAATCCCGTAGCTTCAGATCGTGTATAGAGTCAGTTTATTATCTCTGCTTTCAAAAATAAATTCCAGTGCATCAATATTGCAGACCAATCTTTTTCTAACGCGTAACAGGCATCGTGTCAAACAGACACGAATTTGAGAAAAAATTGTGAAATTATTCAGATTTAGTAATTTTTAAATGCTTTATAAGCATATGAATAATTTCAGTAATGAAACAAAAAATAAAGTAGATCATTCGATAAAGACTATGGATATTCACATTAAGAAAAGAATGACGTCACAAGATGACAATTTACGCCGTTGCCAACATGTGTACTATTTCGCAGTTTTGAATTTTTTGTACTGTTGATTTGTTTTATTACTATTAACCTTACGTACTCTTAACTCACTTACTTGAAATACAAATTTGTTGAGACTATTTCGACAATGCTTTAGGCAAACTTAATATACGCAGGTCTTATTAAAAGAAATGATTAGTTCTGAAAAAAGAAACACTGACAGTTTTCGAGTTTTTTCGATTTGGCAACGCCTGAAATTTTACAAAATAGATAATACCAGTACTTTGTATGAGTATGGTTTATGGTTTATGTCTATGTGAGAAGAAAAGCTGAGATCAGGACCTATCCAAGTAATTTGACATTATTGCAAAACTCTATATTGTAAAAGCACTTGGGGATTTTATTTTTCATGTCAAGAATTGAATAACCCGTTTTATCCTTATTTAAAATCAGATGATTTTTTTTGCAGTATAACTCCATTACAGTAAGAATTATATTGATATTCTTGTAGAGGTCTTGAGGAGCCACATACTGTTACTGTTGCATCGTCTGCAAACGTAACAACTTTCACAGTGGTTAAATGGTTTGAAAGGTCATTTACAAAGTGTACAAGCAATTAAGGACCCCAAAACGGATCCTTGAGACATTCCTAAAGGAACTGTATCTGTATGTTATTGCTCCAATAAGAGGAACTGAAGCATTCTAAAAAAGTACCTCCAAGTTCAGTGCACATGGATAAATCAAATATTCTTGGGGACAATAAAAAACTTTTCAATCATAGTCTGGTCTCCCATTTACCAATGCCTGTTTTAAGTTGTCTAGAGAATTATTGGATCAATCAATTTATGTATTGATCTGAAAAACAATGAGGATAAAAAAAGCTGGTTAGGAGTCACACGTTAAAAGGTAAGACCTCGTTAATCCTTAGCTCGCACAAGTTTCGACTTCTGAGAGTCGTCATTCGTAGAGGAGCAACAGCTTGTTAACAGAAAAACAGTATATCTTAAAAAGTATATCATAATTGGAAAAGAAATGAAGCTGCACATTGATCAGGCAAAAACAATAATTTTTCTATACATTTATTTCATGATATTTTTGTGTGTCTGAATGAATCTAAATGCGGTGAGAATGCTACGGTTAGTGACAATGGATAAAAAATTTGTTATTTGGACGACTTTTTCAATTTTTGCAATAACAACTCAAGTGCTCAGAAATTATTGAATTCAAGTAGTCACATTTATGAACAACTCACCTTCCAAAACCTCTGCCACAAATTGTACATAAATGAGTTTTCTCCCCAGTATGATATCTCTCATGTACTGTCAAATCTGTTGTCCTTGGAAAACCTTGAGAAAAAAAAATGCAGTCATCATTCAACAAATAATTTGATTAGAATATGGTCTCAAAATTTACTCCATTTGTTAGCCTATAACAATCAGTTTCAAATCAGTGCAGAAAGTGGACAAATATGATGATTCATATGATGTGTGTTAGATAAGCATTTGGCATATTCAGCTAGGATAAAAAGTTACAGTACAGTAGTAACACAACATTTTTATTGAAACTCTGAAACAATCAAGGAGATAACAACATTTGAATCATCAACTAAGGTACCGCGAAGAAGAATGTATTTTGTGTCAAAGATAAAGAGGGGAAGCATATGAAAATCGGAAACTATGGGAGAAAAAAAGTCAGTTAAATTAAAAGAAAGTTAAACATTCTAGTGATTACTTAAATGAAGGTTTGAGATTTAGAAAATACCAAACAGTCAGAAGTTGTTCAAAAAGAACCGAAATTCGCCAAAATCCTTTAATTTCTTTATATTATTTGAGAAAATATCAGATTTTTACAGCAGTTTTACTTCACAAACTTTGGTTTCCATTTTCTCATAACATTCAGGTTCATAAACAGAGAAGAAATTGACCTAAATAGACATTCTCTATGTGACTTTTGAATAATCAGAAATATCACATCATAATTTAATCATTTTATAAGATTATAATACAAGTAATTTATAATGCATTTTGTGTCAGTAAGATTATGTATAAATGTATGTTTATCAATAGTATATTTTAGGTTAGTGGAAGAAAGCACTTGTCCCACCTCTCATCTGGTGCAAACTGGTGCTAACTCTGTCTTTTGGTAGGTTATTTTTCTGCTCGTTTTCTTCTTTATTTTCATTGTAAAATCGTTTATTATTATCTTTATTTTTTTGTCATTGCGTTTAACCCGTCAAAAAATAAATGAATCAAAATCTACTTTCAGATCCACCTTTTTGAGGTGTACAAGATGGCTTTTACAAATTTTTAATCCAGCGTTTTGTCTCCAAGAAACCATCACCAACTTTAGTTTTTTATATGGACTAGAGAAAAAATCATTGTTGGTCTTTTTGACGGCAACTTCAGAGGTATATCACTATATTTGTTTTCTTTTTCCTAGTTAAACCAACATTGTATCTCTTACGGTTTCAAATTTTTCCTTGGACACATGACACGCAGTGTAGACTACAAATACAATAAGTAAAATCTTACCGATACAGTTTACTGTGAGATTGTCAGAATTCTTGAATCTATTGATTGCCAAGCATTTCAAAGAATTGAGTTCTCTTCCAAAATATGGTTTGCAAATGTGGAATTGGTCTTCACATTCAAGAAACCATTACTATGCTTTTTCACTCTTTTTGAAAGGGTTCTCCTCGTTTGACTATTGTAGGAAGCTATTGTGCAGTGAAAATCTCACAAAATATTACTTAAATACATTATGAAATGTCATGAAGTATCGGCAAATTTCATCACATATCAACAGATAGGTACAATTCACATCACCAGAGTGACAGCAATCCAACGAAATTAGTCAAGAAATGTATAGAACAAGTGGAACTTTGACTTTTATTGCATATTATGAAATGATAGTTTTGTTTATTTACCAAATTGAAAATAAGACTTCTTTAGTTATAGGAGAATGCTATGTAGATATTTCACAAAACATGAAAGTGACAGTTTCGGAAAATTATCACTTGTGCTTTTCCAATAGAGAATTCATGAATTGTTTCCTAACGAGACGTTTAAGGAAGGCTGGATAGCAAATAATTTACTATTTCTCGGCCACCTCTTTCGCCAGATTTGCCAGTTTTTTATTACAGACGAAAGATGATTTAAAGTTGCTATTGTTTAGTTGAAACACGTGTTGCAGTTTTACAAACTGCTAGGTGAAAATATCACAATTAGGTGTATTTAAATACGTTAAAACGGTTACTTCTATGATTATTACTAGGATATACAATTATCATTCACTTACCTTTTCCACAATACTTGCATTTGAATGGTTTCTCACCCCGATGCCTCCTCATGTGGATAACGAGATAGTCGTTTCGAATGAATCTCTGCCCACATTCTGAGCAGAGGAACTTCTTGGAATGCTCGTTGTGGAATTTCATGTGCTCCGTTAGATGGGATTTGGAGAGGAAGGTTTTATCACACACCTTGAAACGAAATATGAAAATCAAACATGGAAAATTATTTCTATTTTGACTTACTTTGCAGCCATATTCTTTCTGTCCATTATGACCAGCTACATGAACATCTCGATATTTTTCAGTGGTGAAACATTTATGACATAGAGGGCATTCGTATTTCTTTTCTCCCATCACCTGACAAAATTAATTATTATGTATAGAAAGCAAGTATTTTTGGGAAAGACTGATTGAAAATAACTTTTTTGCTTCCTACCCAATGAAATAAAAACTCGGTCATCATTTAGTATTCAAAAATGCAATTGGAGAGCATGTATATAGCATCAAATAACCATTTTGATCATCTGTATTTTGCATCAACTTTCAAAATTGAATTTGTATCCTATTTGTATAAATACATAATTTTCTTTTTTATAAAATTAACTCCTGAAAATGAAATTACATTTTTTCATCGCAATTAGGAAACACCCTGTACATTGTTTGACAATAAACGCAAACAATCATAAGTAAACAATTTCAAACCAGAAAAATCAGCCTGAAAATTTGTATTTTGTATAAGAATAAATAAGAGCCGTGCCTCATGGAATGTGGTATCTGAATTAACAAATGAACATATAGCATACAATGACATAAATATTAGGTTGGATGACCAGCTGATAGAAGATCCAGAAACTATCTTTTCCTTATTTAATACTTTTTTTATCAACACTCCTACTAAGTTGGTGAATCAAATACGCTCTACAAACAGTGAGTTTGAAAAATTAGTAGATTTCAATCCTCACGCGATGTATTTGACTCCACACATAGGTGACGAATTGTTTATACTATAAAATAACAAACTAAAAAATAAAAAATCATCAGGTCCAGATGAAATACATATGTTCATATTAAAAAGAGTTCTTCCTGTAATTATTGTGCCTTTGATGCATTTGATTAATATGTCATTTACACTAAAAAATAAAAAATCATCAGGTCCAGATGAAATACATATGTTCATATTAAAAAGAGTTCTTCCTGTAATTATTGCGCCTTTGACGCATTTGATTAATATGTCATTTACAGTAGGTGTTTTTCCAAATCATTTAAAAACTGGAAAAATTATACCCATTTTCAAAAAAAAAGAATCCAACGTCAATGGAAAATTATCGCCCTATTACAGTCCCCTGTGGATTGTCTAAAGTTTTTGAATACACTTTTCTTGCACGCTTCTGTTCATTTTTAAATAAACATTCCATATTATGTCAAATGCAACATGGATTTCATTCCGAAAAATCAATAAATACAGCAATGTTTTCATTATTAAACAAAATCCTAGAATATGTAAATGGAGGAGAATGCCCAGCCGTGATCTTTGATGATTTAAGTAGAGCATTTGACTGCGTTAATCATAAAAAACTTATTTCAAAATTAGAAATGTATGGTATAAGAGGGATGTCTCTCAGTTGGTTGACATCATTTCTGGAAAATAGAAAACAATATGTGTCAGTTCAAGTTGAGAGAAGAAATGACATCTATAGAGTCAATTCCTAATATCTGAATCTAATTATGGTAGTGCCACAGGATTCAATAATGGATCCTCTACTGTTTGTACTCTATTTAAATAACATTGAATCAGTAGTTACTGAAGGTCATTATGCAGATGACTTTTCGCTAGTTATATCTGCATCGGATACAAAAGAATTACAAACCAATTTTTGCCAGAATAGTAAGGCGGATATCAAATTATTTCAATAACAACGATTTATTTTTCAATGCAGACAAAACATATTTTATTCGTATTCACAACTGGCAAAACCAAGTGGAAAACATACATTTCATGGTGAACAATGTGACCCTAACAAATACTGATCACAATGTAAGATTCTTGGGAATCATTTTAGATGAGTTCCTTGATTGGAAAGGCGACTGTCAACAATTAATATCAAAACCTAATTCATTGAAGTTTCTCTTCATCAATTTACGAACAGTTTTGACAAAGAGTCAGTTGCTAAATATATATTATGCTCAAGTAGAATCAAGACTTAAGTATGGTATCTGTTTCTGGGGTGGTTCTACCTCAGCAGGAAATGTTTTTATAGCACAAAAGCGAACTCTGAAGTGCATAGCAAATTTTTCTAATAGAGAATCATGCAAGGCACTTTTTAATGAGTACGGTGTTTTAACTTTAACATCAGTTTATATTTTTGAACTGTGTATGTATGTGTTCAAAAATAAATCAAGATTTACAACAAATCTAAAACTTCACCAACATTTTCACTTGCCATTAGCTAGATTCAAAGTAACATCATGTGGACCAGAATACATAGATCCAAAGATATATAATCACCTTACAGATTATTTAAAGGCCTTGAATAGTTTTTCTCTGTTCAAAAAATCATTAAAAAAATATTTATTAGAAAAATGTTTTCATGCTTTGCAGGAATTCTTTGAATGATGCATAGTCATCTTAGTTTTAGAGCATGAGCCTGTCTTCCTATTTTCTTTTTTAATTTGTATTGTATTGACACTTCCTACACAATTTTATTGGCCTACTGGAAATAAAGAATTATTATTATTAAAGAAATAAATAAATATTCATTTGTTCAGGGCAATAATTCACAAGTTGGGTTTATAGTGATGAATTAATTTCACTTGCTTTACAAACTGTGCTTGTGATTTCAATTTGTGAAAAGTAATGAAAGATTGTAGATAACTTACACATATTTTGTCTCCTATGCCATGCTTAGAAGCTTTATGTTTGGCCAAATGATCAGCTCTGTTGAAAGGCTTCTGGCATATGTCACATTCATAGTCGTTCTGTCTTTCGTGCAATTTTTGGTGCTGGTTCAGATGGTCCCTTCTGTTGAAACTCTTTGTGCATATCGTGCAGCGGAAAGGTTTGATTTTCGAATGTGACGTGACATGCCTCTTCAAGTGGTTTGCTCTCGCAAATTCTTTTTGGCAAACATTGCACTTATGGACCTTCAAGAAGAAACAGTTGATTTGTAATACTGATGAAAAGTGAAACAATCATGGGATAAAATGTCCTTACAGTTACGAAAACAGATATAATTTGTAGTTTTGTATGATAATTTGCATTCAACAACAATAGTGGTAGTATTTATCTGTTCATGGATATGGTACATTGTACAAGTAGCAATTAATAAAAGATGCTGAAATACAATAGAGAAAGAATGGTTTTGGCTTTCTTATACAAAAATTAATCTCATAAAAAATACATCCTTCAGTTAGAACAAAAATTGAATAACATACATACATCTGACTGGCTTAGTTTCATTTTTGACATGGTTTTGTTTGATATATAAGCTAAGATGATTTTGCACCAACTACTTTTTATTTATACATTACATTTATGTATTACATTTATAACGGATCTGATGATAAAATGAAAACATACCAATGAATTAAATAAACAAAATTAACAAAGACTGAAACATTTTGAAGTAAATTTCTGCATATGAAAACTGAATGGCCTTTTTTCAAGTTTGTATCTGAAAATAACTTCTATGCACTATCTTAATATCCCTGTGAACACTTTATTTCGATCTAAATTGCTTGTGTCCCTCCTTCGGAAGTTTCCCGCAAATTTTGTACAAAGATGGGGAAGTAAACATTTGCTGACCATAAACTACACCTTACGATGTGATCACAAAGTTTGTGAAGATCACATCGTAAGGGGTAGTTTATGAAATTACTATGGATCTTCATCAAGTAATGGCCGAATCAATCAGAATTTTGATGACCAGTCAAGAGGAAGTCTGTTTCCTTTCATGATGTAGATTCTGCTTCTGCCGCTCAAGAATTTGGAACAGGAGGAATTTATTCATAATTCATGAGAACTCTTACCACAACGGGGGTCATATTACCCGGCAGGGATATTCTAATGTCCTCTGCTGCAGAGGATGCGAGTTTTTGACATTTTGCAGATGTCTGTATGAATTAATATATTTTCTATCACTCTTTAATATTGTCTTCGCAAAATATGTTGAATGACTGATAATAAAGTGAGTTTTTCTGTGTTTCTGATGTTTATTTGTGATCGTGATTTTTTTGAATCTCTAGCAAACTCTGTACCATTTATTCTAAGTGATTTTATCATTAGAAATGCCTTTTGAGCATTAGAGTTTCTTCACCCAGATGAGTATGGAGAATTGTAGCGAATGCGCAAATCAGCGAACATTTTTTTGAACAGATGGTTATTGTGAATTCAATCAAATATTAGCTGAGTAATATCAACTTTTTCATTTTGAGTTTGTGGAGCACAAGGTCCGTCCATACTGACACGATCATTGAGTGTTGCCAAGTCATTTTTATACAGTAGCAGTAGATTCTGTGACAAAAAACAGTGTGTTGATACAAAAAGCTTAGATATACTATATACATGGTAATTTTAACTACACAATAATTATTGTAGAAAGTAAACCAAGTCATCAATAGATTTAAACTCTCAAAAAGTAAGACACGAGCTTGAAAGCCAAAACATGAGATCTATGCCATGTCAAATCATGGGTAACCATTTCTTCATCTAAGATAAGACACCACTCATGCATACAGCTAATTTATTTGAAGCTGAATATGAAAGAAAGAATTTCAAGGCTATATCTCATAATCCTTCAAGTTCATATCAAAGGGTATCACAGCTAACATACCCCATTTGTTATCTCCTACTTTCACTTTTCATTTTTCTATATTTCTACTTACCTTTGCACCTTCATGCATTATTCTAGCGTGCTTGTCCAATTTCATCAGTGTATGGAACATCTCTTGGCATATCGGGCACGGATACTCTCCATATTCCTCTTCAGCAGGCTCCCGCTCCTTCTTAACATGCACCTTCGAAGGAGGCCTTCCTCTACCCCTACCCGGAACCCTAGGCGACTTTGGAGTTCTCACTTTACGAGGATTACGAGGAGGTGCGTCGGGGTTCTTGCGGGGCCTTCCTCGGCCCCGTTTTACTTTCGGCGACGCCTTTTGCGGCATGTAATCTGAATCGTCGCTATCTTTATCGGACTCCTCTTCAGCAGCTGAAAGTGATGGAAGCCATACAGTAGAATTTTTTTCCAAATAAGTGTTCATGCTGATACATAGAAATGTGATCAGAATATACAGGTAGCTCGTTTTCTATAAATTAAGCTCCATAATACCAATAACATATATTAGTCTTTAACATTTCCATAGTCATGGAAAAAAGTTTTGATTTATTTCTTGTAAAATGTTTGTGTACATCCTCACACTAAATTTGTTCATAAAATTACGACTTTTTGTCATGGAATGAGATGAAGCCACTCATGTCATCAATGACAGTACTTAAAATAACATTCATTTGCTTATTTACGTACTGTCATTGATGAAATGGGTGGATGAACGAATCGAGTGTTTTTCTTATGTTATCCATAGTTGCTAATGAAGAGCCGATAAGGCAAGTGTCCTTCGGCGAAGGACAGTGAGAATGACATAGTTCCATGTAAGTGAAATTTTACTCCTTTCATTAATTATATTGTGTAGGAATCCTGTGGATGATATCTGATTCAATTCCATTACGAATGTTTGAAATACACTGTTTTGAGAGGGCTTTTTCTTGCAGTTTGTGTTACAATATGTGCATTTACATATTGCTTAAGTTTTGATAAAACTACGTACATTGATCATTGTCCACCATTTGCATAAAACCTCGAGCATTTGTGCCCATGGTGATTTATTCTTCACTAACCTTCATAACATTATTAGAACTGCTAACATGTACTTGAAGTAGGTTATTAAAATTAGTTTTTCTTTGAATAAACCTCTGCAGAATTGTCTGAAAGACATTTTATAGATAGTTCTCAAAACTCTTTTTTGTGCAATGAATATTTTTTGCAGATTCTGTTCTGTTCCCCAGATCATAATTCCATATCTCAACACTGACTCAAAATTTGCATGGTACTTACTTTTTACAGTTTTTTCATTCATGTATTTTGATGTCGTTCTGATTGCATAAATGACCTTGTTCAATTTTTGATAAATGTAATCAATCTGCCTATTCCATTTCAAGAAATTATTTTTATATACTCTTAATAATTATTAGCACTTCTTTGCATGAGGAAATTTTTAAAAATTGATTGCTTCTTTCCATTCTTAAGGAGATTGCCACATTTTTTGTATCAAGATGGAGGAGAAGTAGAAAGCCATAACCTTTCTTTCCCAAAAAATAAATTTTTATAAGCAATTTTCTGTTCCCCAGAACATAATTCCATATCTCAACACTGACTCAAAATTTGCATGGTACAGACTTTTTACGGTTTTTTCATTCATGTATTTTGATGTCGTTCTGATTGCATAAATGACCTGGTTCAATTTTTGATAAATGTAATCAATCTGCCTATTCCATTTCAAGAAATTATCTTTATATACTCTTAATAATTATGAGCACTTCTTTGCATGAGTAAATTTTTAAACATTGATTGCTTATTTCCTTTCTTAAGGAGATTGCCACATTTTTTGTATCAAGATGGAGGAGAAGTAGAAAGCCATAACCTTTCTTTCCCAAAAAATAAATTTTTATAAGCAATGACTAAGTTATAGGGTCATTATTTTGAGTTCCACAAATATTGAATGGCATTTTTAATGGAAGTTGGCGGAGATTATTCTTCTGACAGTACATTTTTTTTATTACAAATGGTCTATCGAGACGGAATCACTTAGCTATTCATGAACTGTCATCCAAACTAAACGTGTACGTGTAAAGACACACCCGAAGAAGCCATTGTATGGGAAAACATGGGATGCGTTTATGTAAAACTGTTTAGTGACAATCTCACAATGAAGTGTTTTTTGAATATGTTAGTTATAGATTTTCATCATATAAACGTGTACACAAAATTTCAACTTAATGGGTTGAGGACAATTGCTACAAAACTCAGTTGCTACATTTAATCTGATCTGACACACAAGAATACATTGCAAGTTAAATAAAAGCTTGCAAAAATATATGCAAAATATAGTTCTCATATTGCAAAATATGTTGAAATGGCCGCATTTAAAACTGTCACTTTGTTCAACATCAAAAAATCTATGAAAACTACATACTAAATTTTGGGTAGATTCAAAATATCTGTTTTTGCAAATTACTGTGTGAAAAATAAAAAATTCAAGAGGCGTGGCAAGACAAGACAAGTTACCCTACCTTCGGCAGCCTCAGCTTCAGCGATAGCTTCTCTCAGTAACTCGTCATCTTCTTCAGGTTCTGCCATCTGAGCCACGTCATCCTCGACTTTGACGTCCTTCCTGTCCTTAATATCGTCGTCTGTAATAATTTCGTTCAAGTCGCTTATATCCTTGTTGTCAACAATGCTCTCATTATCTTCATTGGCGTCATCTTCAATGTCAGGTTCCAAGTCGTTCTCCATATCGTTGTCAACATCTTCCCCACCAACAGACCCATCGCTAGCATTGCTCTCTTCGTCTGGTACTACACCAGACGGCACCGGAATTTCAGGGACTTTTATTTTTTCCTCGTCCTCGGTAACTTCTACCTGTGGTTCGAAACAATCATCGACATCATCGTCATGATCGGAGAATATCGCATTGATGTCTTGATCAATTTGGTAGTAGTGATCCTCAATGTTGTCTAGATTCTCGATGGTGGGCAGCTTGGGGCTCTGATTGTCATGCATCTTTTTGTGGACTTCGAGACTATCTTCACGATTGAAGGCCTTATTACAAATATCACAGGGGTAAACTGTGTCGCCTGAAAGTACACAAAATTTTTAGGGAATCGATCAACATTCTTTAACGCAAGGAAATGAACAATGATAATGAAAAATGCTTTTATTGAAAAGTTACCCAGTACAAGAGATATCAACCTAACCTAACGAATGGCAGAATTCAACATCTGGCAATTAAGGCAGAAATTGCTGTTTCAACCAGAAAAAAAAAATTCTTACTTCGATATGTCAAAAAACATGTTTGCAAATGAAAAATATCTAGATACTAGTTTCATGCTGAAAATTCATATACATATCTTCGATATTTTTTTACATATAAATCTTCTATAATGTACATCACCAAATTGTTTTCTGTTCATGATACTGAGAAGTCCCTGTATATAACTAACGAAACACTTTTATCAATCGACTATTTATATACAATGAAGAAATACAACAGAATTGTAAGTGTAAGAAATAAAATATCCACTAGATTGAAAAATTTGACATTAACATTTTGCAAATCTTTATTCGGCAAATGAACACGATAGGAAGTAGGTATTACCCCATTTCTAGTTATAAATGCAGGTATAGAAAATATTTCATGAGGAGGGCCAACATTTCTAGAGGGACATGCCATTCAATACAAACTGTCGTTCTAAGAGAAAAAAACTCACTTCCATCAAAAAAACATTTTGAAATTTCAAAACTACAAGAGAATATCTAGATGTTTTTGTAAGGTTAGCCAGATATTTATTCACTAGAAATTGAGTGAGAAAAATATTAAGTTGAGTTGATACTATTTTCAAATATTCATTCAGACTTTTATTCAATATGCCGAAGTTCCTTAATTATAACTTTGAAGAAATACAGTTATATTTTGAACCCTGTTTCCAAACATATCAAAGCTGCTGAAATAAATATAGACAATGAATATTGAATTATACTAAATTACTGAGAATAATCTGAAATACATGAACAATGTTCAATTTACTATTGTTTAATAACGATAACAATTTATTCATCACTTAAGATGAAGATAAACTTACATTACCTTCAAGTATCTCAGATAAGTTCACTAACCTTTACATCTTGGGACGTGATTATGCAGATGCTCCACCCTATTGAACCCCCTGTTGCAAGTTTTACAAGAGAATGGCTTCTCCCTCAAGTGTGTCACGAGATGTCTCTTCAGATGCTCCATTCTAGTTAGCGTCTTGCTGCAAATGCGACAGACATGGACCTTCCTCCTATTGTGCGATTGTTCGTGGCGTTGAAGATGATTCAGCCTGGTGTATTCTTTGTCACACTGTTTGCACTTATACATGCTGCCCGTGTGAACACGTTTGTGACATCGTAGGCCCTTTTCCAGAATTAAAGTTTAGGTTATGATCATGAAGTTTTCTTATTTTGTCTTGAGCACAATTTATTTTGAATACATTGGTTAAGTGGATTCACTGTAGATCATATAATATATACAAAAAATAATCTGCTCACGTAGAAACAGAAAGTTAATTGGATATTACAGTTATCTTTATTCAATCTATTTTTTTAAATTTACTAAAACACTAAATTCATTATAACTGTGCTTGCACATGAACAATCAAATTAGTCTTACCAATTATTGAGCTAAAAGAAAAAACGATATGAAAAGTAAAATTTTGATCCCCGAAACAGTCCTAATCACTTTCAAAATATTTTATACAATCTTACCAATTCCATATGATAATTCACCAAAATTTTGGTGATAGATATTGCTCTTATATGTAAAACATATATTACCTATTACAAATACCACTATGGATTTTCATCAAGAATCAGCCAAATCCTTTACATACAGTGTAGTTTAAAAGCAGAACTTTTCCAGTAAAAAAGAAAATAAAATTTCGGGCTGAAATAAACTAACATTTCTTGAGGGTATCAATACTTTTGAGAATGAATCCTATTGAAAAAAGATATTTTTGTAATCAGTTTTTTCAGGAGGCTTAATTTTGTTAACGTAAAAACTGTTACTGAACATACAAAAATCATAGAAATCATTGAAAATCCTCATAGAGAAATAATCTACAAAAGTGTTTACATCGTTAACTAAGTTTATTGGGGATCAATGAGATCAATAGACACCCATGTTTCCAATAAATTACAAAGTGTTAACTATAAAATAACAAAGAAAAAAATAAGAAAAATAATGTTGGCAAACATGGAACTTTAAACACAGAAAACACGAACAGTAATAATAATCAAGTTGAACTTACTTCCAAAGTAGTGAACATCTTAGCACATTCCCGACAGGTGAGTAACATTTGGTTGTTTTCCATGAATTGTATATAGTCCGTTTCAATTTTGGGAGAAATCGAAGAAGGTTGTCCATCTTGCAAGGGTTCTTTTGATGTCGATTGCTCATTCAGAAGATTGTTAAGAGTATTCAAGGATTCTGTTGCAAAAATAAAAATTGTCATAAATGAATGATACTGATACTGAATCCTTCACTGTGTTCAGAAAAAAAACTGAAAAATTCTCTTCTAAATATGGCTTTTTATTGTATTCTGAAATTTTTTGAGACACTGTTCATCAACTGATTCAATCAATCAGTCAATCATTTACTTACAAAGTTATAGGACAAGACAATTTGGAAAAAATCCTACAGATAAAACGCAAACATATATCAAAACTAAACATGGAGGCTATATAAACATAAAACTAAAATTAAACTGATTATGACAATCTGTAAGTCAAATGGTATGAAATTAAAACTATATCAATTTTAGGAATTCTTGAATTGAGTAAGTCTGTTAAGACTTACTTCTCAAGATTGTATGGGAGAAAGTTATATGGCTATAAACCAAAAGTATTTGGTGCTCTTTTGGATAATTCCTGGTTTTTGAAGGGCACATAAAAGTATTTTTTTCTTGTATTCAGAGTATAAGTGTCACTGTTTCTTAAAAATGTATTTCAATTGCCATGTATGTAAGTCATTAGCTCAAGAACTAATATGCCAGTAACTCTGAGTGATCAAATGGACGGCCCACGAGACATCTTAGAATGCGCTTCTGAGACACATCATATCAATGTTCCTATTATTATTGTGTCATGTTGTTTTCTATTGATTTTATAATCTACTACATTCATCTTTTTTATTGTTACATATATTACTGACCCCATATCATGTGAATCACTGAATATAAAGGGCTTATGAGAAAGAAAGGTATTGCCTTTCTACTTCTCCATCTTTACACAAGAAAGTGCGAATCTTTCAAAGTGAAGATGAAGAAGTAGTAAACCAAAACCTTTATTTCATAAAAATCAATTACCCTTAAAAATATTCCCAAATCAATTTAAATAAAGGGCTTACTTTTTACATTTTTTCATGAGATTTTTATATCTTCAGGTAAGTATATTTTGAAAGTTATTACCAGAAAAATAATGGGTAATAGTCAGAATAGAAATAAAAGTAATTTTTCTGGTATCAAAAGAAGAATTGAAAACCAAAAAATTCTGATCTAAAAATGATCAACAAGTGTAATTAGCACTTAGATCTGCTTTTGACAGTTTTATTTAGGTAGCAATAATAAAGAAAATGTGGTGTGATACATTATGATTTTGCAATTTTTTGTAACAAATCAAATTCTAATTTTTGTGCATCAAATAATATTAAAAAGGACATTTTGAACAAATACTGCACTAGTAGGTAAATAACAGATTCCTAGAAGCCCAAATTATAAAAGATTATTATGATGAAAAAAATTAATGAATACCATGACAGTGAGACAAACTGGTGCCAAAACTGATAACATAAAATTTATAAGGACTACTGGAAAATTAATGAGAAATATTTTGTTTTGAAATCCATGATAATTCAAGACTTCAAATCAGAATAGTTCGAGAGACCTCAATTGTTGATGATGAGGGAATCAACAAATTGAAAACTTTAACATTAAATTAAATATATAAATAGACCTTTCCTAGTATCACACATTTATTGAACAACAAAAAAATGACTTATGAATGCAACTTGTACAGAAAAGAGAAAGCCTTACCCATAAACTCAGAATTTTGAAGTTCTTGTTTGATTTCGTTCACTTTGATATTTTTCGCATATTCCCTTAGTCCTATGTCTACTTTTTCTGCCTGTCGCTTGAAGATGAAGGCGTTTTTTAGTTGTTCCACACATATTTGGCAAATTAGCGTCGGTAAACCGTCTCCACATATCACCTGTTACAAAAAAAACAAGTGGAAATTGATTTTGTAAATATTTTCCATGGAAGGCGTTATGAATATTTACCTGAACTGAAGCACAGGCCATTAGCATCTCGTCAATACGGGGACTTTGATGAGAATTTTCGTATCCCTCGAAAAGGGACCGCATGTGAGGTGTAACACATTTGCATGTCCTACAAATCTGGTTAAAGTTAAAATTTTCGATTTCCATACTGGGCACTCTGGAAATAATCTATATTATTTGAAAATCACTTCATTATTATTATCGCCACAACCCAAGCCAACTCAGTCGACAGCACTGGCGAAATTGACAACTGACATTTCGTAATTTTCCATATTGACATTCTTATGGGCGCCAAAAACAAATTGTTTGCTTTCAATGTATTCAACTGAATAAAATACGAAAATGTGTGTTTTGAATAATATATTCCTAAATTCAACATACAGAATAGTTTATAGGACGAATTTGCTTTATTTTTGATAGGAATTTAACAGGTTAACACAGTGGCGTTCAAACTATACTGAAAAATACTGTATTGGCAACACTGATGTAATGTAACTAATATAACCCGTACACGGCGTGTGATATTGTAAATTTCTACCTTAGTTAGTACGTCCAAACCACAGAATACTTTACAGGATGGATACTCAGCACGGAACAGAAACTATGAATTTTTTGAAATTCTCGAGGTGATTACTGTCAACCTAAAATTTCGTCGAGTGGTTAGTGAACTTGGATATGGTAAAATTAAGCCAATTAGGTTGGAATTGTTGAAATGTTGGCCTAATAATCTGTCGAGATGACATCATAATAATTACTTAACTACAATCAAATTTATTTTTGACATTAGAGAAGAAAGTAATAGGTACAATGATACGTTTCAAATAATTTGAATTTGACGCTGACAATGATATTCAACACCTCAAACATGAACATTTGTGCATTAAATAATATACTTCCAAATTCAACATACTGTTGAAAATGACATTAAACACTTCGAACACAAATTATAAGTCACAGAAACTTGATCTCTCAATGAGTGACTCTTTTGTTGTGAGATATTCTGTGTCCAAACGTCCTATACTTAGGTTACGACCTGCGACTCTACTCTTTGTCAACGAATTTGTACTTATGAAATACTTTAGACTATTTTACTGTTACTTTAAAAGGATGCACATGATTGTTCATAAGTTTCACATTAAGACATACGCCCTGTGAAACATAAACTGAAATGATTTCGATTTGATCTTAAACAATTTGTTTTATTCATTTATTCACGGCATTGCCTATATCTACATTATAATTAACACATTCACACATCTGTACTGTACCGCCTATCAGCTAGATGTAGGGAAAATATAAAAAAAGAATGGCAAAAATAAACTAATCGATTATATGATAACAGTCTTGTTAAATGATTCCGAGAAAGTATTAAAAAGTTCTAAATCCACATTGTGAGTGTTTTCAAGCCTCAAATTCTACCTATAGACTCATTCTGGCCATAGTTGGTATGATGAAAGGGTACTTTGGAAATTTCTGTATTTCTCTTTCTCTTTGCGGTATCTTGAAAAATCACGGAATTTTCCTCTTTTCTTCCTTAATTTAATTGTCTCAGCTTCCATAAGTTAGCGCTATACAATCAGCTCTTTCCTTTGTGTAAAATACACTAAGGCAACTTTGTCCTAAGATTGCAGAAGTCTTGCTTCACACGATACTGTACTCCTTATTAATGCTTCTCAATTTCATAAATTGCTCGCACGTCTTCCGACGGCGGATATACATAACCGATTAGGTAAAACTATCACCACACAAATATGTATTGTTTGCTTGCACGTGTTATGCAGCGGGAGCTTCCCTCAGCGATGAGAACAGCTACACGTCCACCCACTTCAACTATTCTGAAACACAGGCTCGAAATACTGTCGTAAATAATACTCGAAAATAAAATAAATAACGCTGGCCGCCACTGGTACCCATAAACCAATCGTGACGTAGCTAAGAGCGCGCGAATGTACGATGTTCGCTGCCGCTATAGATGGAGCGAGAATTATGCTATCGATTTCGATGGAATTTTGAAGAATATTCTTCCGTATTCGATTACGATATATGAATGATAGCCACGCATTTAGCGTCGAGAGGTTGGTGACACTAGCTGATTTATCTTCAGAAAATTGTAAGTAGAATATATAACCTTTGTACATAGACAATGATATAACCATTGTCTAAGTTAGACAATGGACAATGGTACAATGGTATAACTACCGTGTTTACTTGTATTCTATACGGTGGTATAACCTAGATCCAATATAGACAACTGTGTTTTGCATTTTCGCCACCACGTCGCTGGCGTCTAATTTTAAAGTCTCAATATGCTCTGAAATGAACATTTTCACTAGCATTGCCATCTAGGAAGAGCATTTAGAGTCATACAGTTGCATATACAGTTTTCTATGAAACGAAGAAGGGTATTTAAAGCATCGACAGTGACGCGGATATAGGGGGTAAACTACATAATTTTTATTATATTTTGAGATCTTGAAAGTGTTTTTTCATCTCCCCAATTCCATTCAGATTGTTTAAGACTTTACAAATATTTGATTTGTCAATTATTTTGATTAAATTTGAATTTGGAAAATATGGAAACAATTATAATAATTTTTCGTGAAATATGTAACAGAAAAAGAACTGGCAAAAACGTATTTATTCTTGGTTAGAAGGAGCACAATAAACAGTTGTGATTATTTTTTGAATTCTTGAAATTGGACTTTTCAATTTCTTCAATATCATTCAGAATGATATTTTATGTTTTGTTTGTGTTTTTGTAAAAATCTGTTTTTAAAATTATATTTGTATTAGGGAAAACAATGCCAGAATTCATAATTATTGAAAACTATTGTGAACTTTTATATTTATAACATGAGAGAACTGGTAAAATGCTGTGTATTTTTCAAATTATTTCATGACTTGCTACTCCAGAGAATTTTTATCAACAAACAACAATTAGACAAGGGCAAATCCACTCATTTAATGTTCAAGTATGAATGATTGGAAATTTCTTATAGTTTTACAATCAAGTTGAATATTACTGGAGTTTTTTCCCAACACCAATCGTCCTTTTAACACCTCAACGTGTTTCGATCACCAAGTGATCATCTTCAAGAGGAAGATGATCACTCAGTAATATTCATTACTACACCAAAGGTTCCAAACAGTGCATCACAAGTTACAATCAAGTTTTTTATATTTGCCTCCTTTCAGAGTTATATTTTGGATGAACTTGCATTAATAATAATGAGTAAAATTCTATTTATGAGAAACTAAAATGGATTTATGATGCACTGTTTGCAACCTTTGGTGTAGTAATGAATATTACTGGAGTTTTTTCCCAACATCAAATCGTTATTTTTAACACCTCGACACGTGTTTCGATCACCAAGTCATCATCTTCAAAGAGGAAGATTAAAACTGCTTGTCGAGGTGTTACACGTGTTGAGGTGTTAAAAATAACGATTTGGTGTTGGGAAAAAACTCCAGTAATATTTGAAATGGATTTATCAATGATGAATCACCTTCGATAAAATGAAAAATCAACTTTTTTTCAATCGTTCATTTCTTTATTAAAACTACAAAAGTATAAAAAGTACAAAATTAGGAAACCCTTATTTGTTTTTATTCTTATCAGATGCTAGTCCCTTGAAAAATTTTAGTATATTACTAACGATACCAACTTCTTTCTTGACCACAGGATTCTCGTTAATTTTCTCCAAAGCAGCAACTTCCTCTTTCAAAATCTCTTCGTCTTTTTTATTGTAATCATCAACGGTAGTACCAATATGTGCCAAATTGGTCTTCAATTGATTTTCCAGAGTCTTGAATTTGTAAGGTTTATTGATCAATGCTAAATTCTCGTACATCTCGTCATTGGCCGCTGCTGTTTTATCCAATAGGCTCCCGATTCTGGAACCCAAAGTTGGGGAAGTATTATCGACGTTGAAATTAGGTAATATTTTCTCCGCCTGTTGTTTTCCAGCAGTCCATAAGTTTTTGAAAAAATATTCTGGAAAAGTCAAGTCCTTCTTCATTTCATCGTTTCTTATGTTTAATTTTGATCTAATATCGTCCAGCCTTTTATTCATGAAATCTTGGAGATAGTTTGGTTCTAAACTTGAATTTTTGATGATTACTGCTTTGGTGGTAGTCTCAGAAGGAGTAGTTTTTGTTGTTTCGCTAATATTGGAACCGTCATCCATATGTATTTCTTTCAAAAGATAGGTGTTGTTTTTCTGTTTGTTTTCGAAATTCCGTGAAGTCCGCACAGAAGGGTTATCTGAAATTGACAGACTATTAGGCGAAATTTTCGCAGATTTGACTTCCGGCGATCTCTTTAAAATGCCAGCATTATCTCTCTGAAGCTCCATCGAATCAAAACTATCGGTTATCTTGTTTCTAGATGGGAATTTTTCTTTTTCAACCGTATCTCGTTCATTTCGATGAGATGTGCTAACCCCTGGAGAACTTTCCAAAGCCGTCTCATCCTCGAATCCTCTCATTCTTGATTGCATTTCCTGTTGTCGAATAGATGATTCATCTTCGAGCATACCCTGTGGTAAAGCCATACCCACAGTCATGTCTTCATAATTGCCGTTACGGGGTTCATTACCGGCAGACTTTATTGGTTCCAATTTTTCCTTCAGTTCTGTTTCATTCTCCAATATTGTTTCAACGGCTTTTTCCAATACCGTGTGGTTTTTCGGACACGTAATATTATTGCAAGAGCAAAGCTTATCCAGATCAACTGAGAGATGCATAACCCCCTTGTTGTCCTTCACCATTTTCAAAGGCAGCTTGATTCCGTTGCCTAAAAAGTATACGTCTGAAGGTTTTTGATGGAAAGACGCATCTGTTGGGTTCTCTGCGGGTACGATGGCTCCCATGGAGTTTGAAAAAGCATTTGGGTCGTTTTCAAACTTGCCACGAGTGACCACGGCTGGGTTGGTATCACCGACCGTTTCAAATCCCATAAATTCATTTTGGTTCTGCTCTTTCAAGACATTTACTGGGTTGGCAGATCCAACGTAGGGATCTCCAACCATTTGTTTCGTTTCTTGTTCAGAGTTCTTTCTTCGTGAAAAAGTACCAAAAAGTGAAGTGGTTGGTTGGATTCGTTCGAAACTATCATCCAGAGGTTGGCTTTTCAGAATGTTTGGCTCAACAATGAGCTTCACAGAGTCGTCTTCGATAGTGTTCACCCCCTGTTTCTCTATATCACTGATCACTTTGGGTGTGGTAACATCTACTTCAATTTGAGATGGTTTATTGGTTACTGTTATTTCTTGAAGACCATTACTGAGGTCTCTGACTTTCTCCAGAGCTGCCTCGGCATTTTCGAAGTTGTTCACTTCAGGCTTTCCGACAGGTTTACCCATTTCTTTGGTTACGGAGTTTGGTTGCCCGCCTGTGAAATGACATTCGATCAGTTCATTATAAGAAAACTGAACGTATAATATAAGGAACTTGCTGACAATTCCCAACATATTGATATAAATGAAAATTATAGCAATAACGAGTTATGATTGGAGCCTATTCGATTTTTCGAAAATTTGGAAAACAACGGATTTGTCCACAGCTGTATCAATGAATAGGTATATATTAATTTTCACATCGGAACAAAATGAAACTAAGTTTTTATATTTCTTTTTATATAATATGATGGAACTGACCAATACTTGATGAAAATCATCTTCAAGTAACACTTCATTATTTGTAACGAAAATAATTTTCAGACTTTTAATTTGTGAGAACCTTCAACCATTTCATTCGGTTCATAGAAGTTATTCTGAAACCAACTATAAATTTTCCTTTCACACCAAAATTGTGTAATTTCTGTAATAATCAATTTCAGTTTGATCATCATAGCTCCGGTGAATAGGTATATCTCCGCATCTGCGGAAGCTGCACTGCTATTGGTATGTAACATAAATTGGTAATTGCTGAATATTTGACAGTCTGACACTGATTTGATGAGTTTTTCAATAATTTATTGAGCGATATTGAATAGATAATCAGAAATATTGAAGTCACCAGATATTTGAAAGAAATAGGAAAGTCAATCGGCTCCCAAGCAGTGAATTAATCTCGCTGTAAACTGGTTTCAATATCTGTCATGATGGCAGTTCATTTCAGAACTTATGGTTAGAGAAAAAGTTGCTAGCAACGAAATTACCCCAGGACCATTTAATAATGTAGGTTATGAATTTGTACACACTTTGGAGTGAGTTTCGAATACATTTTTCTTTCGAAACTATGATATTTATTGTTTTTCTGCAGATTATGAAAACAAATATGAAACTGCTAATCACTTGGGAACGGCTAATCCGAATTCCAAAAATAACAAAGATTGAAATGGATAATTGAATTAAAAATCGATCAAAGTATCAGAAGAGCCTCCTTTCCTTTTGAAAAAAAGTTGATAGCGCTCTCTCAGGGACGAATGGTGCAACACCATTGTTTCTCTTACCAAAAACTACTGATAATTATCCTTTGCACCAATTCTGTTCGACATTGGATTCTTGTCCCATTAGGAAGTTGAGCAGGAAATACTATTTATGTCCGTACTATATGGATAACTACCAATAACATTGGTAGTTATCCATATAGTACTAATGAATCGATGAATATTTGAATTATATCCTTATGGTCAACAAGTTCCATGAGATACTCTGAAAACTCACCAGAATTTTCTGTAGTCGCAACCATTCCTTCCAAAGGCTTCACAGAATCACTTAAACTACTGCGCGAGGTCTGCAAAGCTGACTTCAAATTAGCTTTCCTCATCTCTTGCCTCTCCTTCAGCTGTTGAATTAATTCGTTGGCTCTGGCACCAACATTGAACTTTATGGGAATTTCATCCTCCCTTGCCTGCGTCTCCAAAGCTCCTTCGGAGTTACTTGGGGTAGATCCTTCCGAAAAATTTTTGGAACCTTCAATTCCTGATCCAGTAAAGTTCATAGACTCGCCCAGCATTTCATTTTCAAACCCTGGATTTACCACCATCGTGCTCTCTCGGGACGAATTATTTGTTTCTGTGTTTTCAAGCTCACTTGATCGGTGCGTGGGCCAAACCCCTCGGTGGCCCTTTCTATGCCCTTGCATAATATGGCCTTGATGATGGTCTTGTCCATGCCCTGGATGATGGTCTTGTCCATGCCCTTGCCATGGATGATGCTTTTTGTCATGTCCAGGATAATGCCCTTTCTCATGTTCTTTATAAGGTCCTTGGTTGTGTGTGTTGATTTTTTTATGTGACCTCGCACCACTACTTTCGTTTTCTTCTAACTCTGATCCCAGTCGGGTATCAGTATTTTCAAGATGATTCATATCCTCAGATGGTCTTTGCAAATTTAGTGAACTTCTGGATTTGAGCCTTTCTATCATTTCGGTAGGATTTAGTGTTTTCATTCGTTCCAATAATGGCATTCTTTGTGTTCCAGATCCTGTAGTTGGATTCGTTAATCCTTTTTCTGCATTTTGTGAATCTAAAAAAAATAATTATCATTTCAGTGGTATGAGCTAACTCAAACATAAACCAATGGAAGAACATATGATATACAGGGTGGGCCATCGAAAACTTGACATGGAGGTTTTGGGTACTAATCTTGCAAATCCTAAAAAATGCTCAGATAGGTCGATTTTTATTGGGAGGGGAAAGTTTTTTCCTCATTTACAGCGTCGTCACTTCAAACCCGGAGCAGAGGGTAGAACAACCCTTAGAATGTTAATAGAGAACTGGGGGCGAGTCACACATCGTTTGAAAGATCTTGGAATTCTCTAAACAACAGTGCACATTTTTTTTTATTTGGATGAACCATATTAAATTTAGAGTTGAAGTTATTTACTTTATTCTCATGTTAGCATATGCTCAAAATGGGCACCTCCAGCTTCCATGCAATAATAGAGATTCTGCTGGAAACGTTCTCGAACATTGTGAAGCATTTCTGGAGTGATTTGGGGACATTAATTTGTGATTCGTTGCCGTAAAGTTTCGAGTGCTGCAGGAGGAGTACAGACAATTCTGCTTTTCAAATGACCCCACAGAAATAAATCTAACGGCGAAAGGTCTGGTGATCGTGGTGGCCATTTGATAGTGCACCGCCTCCCAATCCAGTGATCCGGAAAAACCTGATCTAAATACTGCCGAACAGGCAGATTATAGTGCGGAGTAGCCCCATCTTGTTGAAATATTAACAGATCCTCCCGATAATTGTGGTAATTTTCAATAATATCAGTGAGAAGGGGATTGATAGTATCTTCCAGAAGCTCCAGATATATTTTTCCGGTTGAATTGCCTTCTAAAAACAATGGGCCAACAATACGGTCACCAAAAATTCCAGCCCATACATTTAATTTTTGTGGACGTTGAGTATGCACTTCATGGAAAATGTGAGGATTTGAATCAGTCCAATAGCGAAAATTATGGCGATTAACTGTGCCATTTAGAAAAAAAGAACATTCTCTACTGTAGCAAATGTTGAAAACAAAATGTGGATTTCCCACCGCTCGTTCACTAACCAACTCGCAAAATTGCAAGCGTCGATCGAAACCATCTTCATTCATTTCTTGCGTTAATTTGATCTTGTAAGGATGCATTTTGTGGGTTTTTAAAATACGCCGAATGCTAGTTCGTGACACCCCGAAAACAAATGCTAACTTTCTTGTGCTCAAAGTATGGTCAAGCTCAACATGGCCCGGAATTGCCATTTGTGTTGCCTCATTTGTTACCGGTGGTTCGATTTGCCGTTTTTTATTTGCTACAGATCCAGTTGCGCGAAATTTTGCGATTAAATTAATATCATATTGAATTCTTATTGTTCCTAATATTGAGTAAGTACTACATTGCTTTTATATTTATATGTATTGTGTTTTCTGATATTTGTAAATGAGCGTTTTAAGAGTTTTATCTGATGTTATCTTTTCTAATGAAAAAACTGGTACCTGATTGTTTACCGCAATTTGAATAATTATTATTATTAACCCTTGAAATATTCAAATCTAAGAAGTTGGGCTTATTGTTTTGTTCGATTTCTACTGTGAATTTGATTTTGTTATGCAGACTATTGAAGTTCAAACATTGATTAATTTGTCTGCATGAAACATCAAAACCTACCAGTACGTCATCAACGTATCTGAACCAAAACACAATTTGTTTATGAAAAAAAGGGTTATTAAGTATAAGGGTATTTTCTAGTGTGTCCATGAAAATGTCTGCCAAAATGGGACTTAATGGTGAGCCTATAGGGAGACCTGAGTTTTTTAGGTAAAAATTATTATTATATTTGAAAAAAATTGTTTCAGACATGTATTCAAGAGATTACAACATTTGTTAGTTATATATGGGTTTGTATCACATTGATCTAATATGTCTTTCGCAAGGGGAAGGCATTCGTCTGTTGGAATGTTAGGAAACACGTTTTTTACGTCGAATGATACTAATTTGATATTCAAATTATATAATTTTTCATTTAGGTCTGCTGAATTTAGAACTGTGTTGGAATGAGTAAATTTTATGAGGTCTTTGAATTTTGAATTTGAAAATTTTGACAACTTACTGGTTGGGACATCTATATATGATACTACTGGTCTTGCTGGATGTCCTTCTTTGTGGAGTGTTTTCATTTATTTATCTTGAAGTGATCATGAATTTCCACAAAATAAACAAGTCGTCAATTACATAAATCATTTCTTATAACTTTTATTCAACAGTTAGTATGTTTGTGATGGTTGAGTTTTGTAAACTTATTGTTACAGAGCAACGTTGCAAGAAAACAATTCCTCTTTCACCGTCATGATGTTTTCGACCGAGAACGTTCATTCCATTATTGCTAGGTTCCATGTTAGTTGACCTTCCATTCTGAAGTACTCCGTCAACAAAGTTTCTTTGAGCTGGTAAGGCATTTTTTGTATTGATAATGTTAGCCTTGACGTTGTTGATGAATTCTCTCAATTTGTTTCCCGGCGCTTCTTTCTCGCTTTGGATAACTTTCATCGGTGCATTTTCTTCTATTGTCATGGATTTTAAAGAAGCCCCAACGTTATCATCGTCACTTGTTACTACGGTTCTCTGATCTGGGCTGGCTTCAAATGGTCGAGGTTTATTACCTGAAGGAAGAGACCCACTATCAGGTAAAGATCCTACTGAAGGTTGCTCCTCTCTTTCTGCAAGGTCCTGCAATCCAAGAAATACCATCAAAATGAAAGATTCATTTAAAATTGGACCGCGAACAAAAAAGTTTTCGTGAATTTTGTTCAAGAATATACAGTACTGAGTATTCAAATCCCTGAAACACGAAAAGATATACTTAGAAGAAATAAATAAGTCAAATGGTTTTCAGCGGAAAAATCCTAACCTCTGAGAAAAATTGAATGAAAATATGAAAAATATAAAAACACTTTCTATCCATCGAACTGAAATTAACTGAAGCTGATGAAACGCAATTATGTGAAATAATGTATAGAGTTTCATATTGAAACAAAAATTTCAAAAACTACACCTCACGATTTGATCTCCACAAACTTTATTTGAAAAATATATCACAACATGTTTCGCTAAGACATTAGCTTTTTCAAGTGATTTATAGTTAGTGATATATAATAAGTTTGTGGGGATCAAATCGTGAGTGATTTATAAATCACTTGAAAAAGCTAATGCTTACTATGGATCTTCATCAAGTAACGGCCGAATCAATCAGAAAATAAAATGGTTTTGTTGATGAGTAAGTACTTTTTTTTTGAGTGGAATATCAATTTGACAGGGTTCATGAGGACATTCAACTCGAGGACGAAACTTCTTCGCAAAAAACTAACCTTAACATAAGAACTATTATTTTTATCACTTGCTCAAATATTTCTTACATACAAATACATTGTGGATTCAGGAAGTAATTTGGGAAGGCTATTGATTTTATGGATTTTATTCAAGCAGTTGATTGGAAAACGTCGTTAAATTCAATGACCTGCTTCTTTTCTTTTTCGAAACAACTCGATGTTACATTTCTAATTGAAGGAGTGAAAGTGATGCAAAAATGAAATTCAAATGATTATAGAGTATTGTTTTCTCGCAAAATGCTAGACATTTGATTCATGAGTCGACGTTTCATTATATATTGAAAACGTCAATATTGTGTTAGGAGTCTTAGTTCCTTGAAAGTTACTTGAGAGTGTTGAAAAACCACCATTTTCATAATTTGTTAATTTGTTTTTTGTTCGAATTGTATGTGTTTATAGGTAGTTAAGAGATTAATTTTGACTAGTAATTACTGTATTAAATTCAACATCCATAGTCCCTATAATATATATATTCTCCATCCATATGAACTTTTAGATAACGTTCAAGTTACAAGAAAGTTATGAGAATCAACCAAATCCCAAGTTGGAAATATCATTTGAAGTTCCAGATGTATTGTAAGTTGAGGCAGCATAAAACTTTTGAGCAATAACTTGGAGATATTCACTCTTATATTTGTTGAACTTCCATATCTTAATTGCATTTTAGAGGTAGATTTCATAGAGTTAGAAGTTTCAGGAGCAGACTACGTGGATGTTCCCAAATAGAAATTAATATTCAATGAAACTATTCATAGCATTACAGTATAACAGTGGATGTTTTTATTCTTGGAATTTACATAAGAGAAACATGAGGGTAGAACTGGAAACTCTGGCATGAAATAAAACTAATGAAAACACTTTTCAGACGCTAAAACTAGACGCGCATTTCGCTGACGGAATTAGCATATATAGGTGATTACTGAAACGTACTAGCCAAGATAGAGCCTTTTTTGACCTATAACTTAGGCATCAACTTGGTTGTGAGGAATTGGTTTCTGTGATTGAATCCTGATGATGCTAGTTCTATCAGTAGTTATTACGATTAGTTCTGGTAAGTTAAAAGTATTTTCATCAGAAATAAAGGAATTCATCCCCCGGAACCAGTGCTTCTTATGAGACTGATGATGTTTGATACTCACTTGATCATTTCTAGCTTCCAAAAACTCCTGCTCACCTTCCTCATCTAGTATTCTCGAATCCGGAGGTCCTTCTATGATATCAGGATTTTGTCTTTGAGGGACGACGAGTGTCTCAAGTTCTATAGGATATCGTGGTAACATTTCAGAAGGCATGTTACTCCTAGAACCTACAATTTGCGAACTGCTAGATGTGCCGAGTTCGGGAACTTTGTTGGATGGGTGCATCTGTGAAGAATTCAGTTCATAGAGGTAACTATTCGAGAAGTGAATCTATCAGATGAGCCTCTTTTTCCAGGTTTCCAGAAAGTCTGCTGTGCTTATTCAAACACGCATATTCAAGTTACCTACACTTTATATTTACATTTTTATTAACAAAACAGGAACACGACTTCCATTATACAGGGTGTTAGTTTGAAAATTCCCACCCTTAATGTTTTCCATTCAGTAAACAATTGAGGAATAAGAAAACTGGTCAATTTTATTATCAAGGGAGACACTTTCAAGGACTATTTGTA